ACAGGCTGCTGACCACTGCGTGTTTTACCTGGAGTCTGGGTCTCGGCTTGGTATTTTTAAATCTTTAAAACTTAATCTCAAAGCGCGCTTTCTTCACTTTTACACTTTTACACTTATAACCATTGAGTCCAACACACTGACAACAAAATTTGCCTATAAGAAGACCAATCACAGATTTTAAAGGTAATCTGCTCACCTGATATTCTTTGAGGACGTCCGAGCGTCAGTATCCTGGACTCCTTTTTCCACCCCGTAACGTCTGAACCCCAGAAGAGATCTCGATGTGGAACCTCCAACTTGTTGTGCGAACAACCACGAACTTACTCCTTCTCCGCCCGGGTTCTTTTTCTCTCCTCTGAGTCGACCTATTATCGAGGTGAAAGATATCAAAAATACAAGTACTTAAAAGTTCAAACCCTCCTTTATTAAATGTAATTATAAAAGGTTAAACAAAATGCATAATACAAGATTATTCAAAAGGACTATAATTGCGCATTTATAGGGAGACATCAGACAACCTGGATTAGGTGCTCTCAGCTTCTCTGCTGGTAAGATGTCTCTCTCTGCTGAAGACTGCTGCCTTCTTTTCACTCCTTGTTCTCCATGACCTCTTGACCTCTGCTGCTTCCTTCCCCCTCCTGCATTCCTTGAGGGGCCCAGTTTATGCACTCAGCCTCTCACTTTTGACTCAGTTACTACATTAATAAGTTTTGCTATAACTAATTTACTCAAGATTCTACTGAATACACTGATTACTAATAAGCAAACAAAGCATTTAATTGATTATAAAACTGTTCACCTCAACAACAGTTAATTCTTTTTCAGTATAACTCTCAGTTAAAATTAGAAATCAAATAGATTGTTTCATCTATGTTATTCTAATTTGGAGTAGATAACTGTTTAGAAAGACAGAAGCTGTCAACAATTTGAAACACATTCCTTTGCAAAAGAATGGGACAGAACACACTAGTTTAAAAATAACCAAGATTAACTTTGGAAATTAACTTGGATAACTTTAAACTAATTAAAGTTGAACAATTCTAGACAATAAGTAATTATTTACAAGGTAACATTAAAATACTAAGTATTTTAAAAGTTGTGATTACAGAAGGGAGCTTTGAAGTCAAGCTGTGAAGCTGTTAAGTGGGTTTTACACTTAAAAGACACAGTTACTTTCCAGCGGTTCAACAATGGTGTGACAATGCGCATGCGTGAACGAGGAGGTTAGTTTGAGAAGATGCAAGATTCAACAGAACACCGCAAACGGTCAGACTGTATCACAAAGGCTGTAGAGACAAAGAGACAGGGAGAAAAAGAGATAGGGAGTGGCTATTTGCATACAGTTCCAGTCTTGAGTTGTGTGCGCGCACGTGCACACGACTGACTTGTTCGGTTCTGACTCTGATCAGAACCGCTGAATACACATTCGTCTGCTCACTAAGCCTCTGTGGCTTCAGTTCACAAGTTAGCTCACAAACAAACAAGTCCTTAGGCTGTCGTAACACCAAAACGGACTCACAACCTCAGATTATCTACAGATAAAACAACAAAACGATTTACCTTCTAAATCGTTATAAAGTTGTGGACTGTTTCCTACACGAGCGTGTTTTGGAAGGAAACAACAAGCTGTGAAAAGCACGGCGGTGATGCGATCGTTTCCGGGAGGTTTTCACAATAAAAGTCTGTTTAGCTCACACATTGATGAACAACATGAATCATCTTATTTTCTTGTGTCCTGATAAAGATCTACTGATCTGTAAGCCTCACAAAGCTGGGCACCAATAATTATGTAGGGGTAATTTAAAAGTTAGAATTCTGAAATAGATAATTTTTGAATATATTTAAATATATTATATTTACATATACTATATTTAAANTGTCAATATGGACCAAAATCTCTGAGGAATGCTTCCAGCACCTTGTTGAATCTATGCCACGAAGAATTGAGGCAGTTCTGAGGGCAAAAGGGGGTCCAACCCGTTACTAGCGTGGTGTACCTAATAAAGTGGCTGGTGAGTGTATGTTCCAACAATTGTAACGTAATGTTATTAAAAAAAACTTAAAACTCTCCTTTTCAATGATACATGCATTTTTATTGTACATGGATAAAATATTCTCAAAGCATGTGAGAAAATGAAGCCATTGTTTGTTTGTTGAAAAATATGTTTTTGTTTTTAATTCATTTTTTAGTGTTTTAAAGTTGTTTCCATTTTTTATTGTATTTTACTTTTCTTTTGAACATATTTTGGGCATAAAAAGGGGGCAGATATTATAAGATTTATTCTTCTTCTGCTGCCTTTCATTTCATTTGATTTCATTTTGATTGTTTTTGAACTTTGTTAATTTTGTATTACAAATGAAATGAATAAACTACTACTACTATTAAAGTTGATTTAAAAAATACCTACAAGGACTGGAATGTTTTAAAACTTAAAAAGCTTTGAATTTGAAACTGGCCTTTCTCCATTATTTTGATTTAAGTATTTGTTCTTCGTAAAGTTTATTAAAAGCTTGAGCTACTTCTGAAATGTGTTGAGTCTTGTTTTTACAACACAACTTATGTTTAACACCATTTCTGGACTGACAGATAAATATAGCTCCTTACAAGATGGCAGCCAAACATCTTTCCTAACGCCACCAGTGGCCTTTCCAGTCTTTGTATAGTTCAAGAGGACCAAGAGGAGCCCGAGGGGAAGCAGCGAGGCAGGTCAGGTTTCAGCTCAGTTACAGCGCCGTCTGGTGGATTACAACTTCTTCTTTAGGAGTCTCCACTTGGATCTGTCCCACCAACCCTCTGCAGATCCTCCTTCAGTACATCGATAAACCTTCTTTGGTCCCTCTCTTTTTTATGACAACTCCACATCGAACTTGTCTACTGTCCCTCCTCTGCACCTGTCCAAACCTGAGCGTCCCTCTGACATCAGCTGTTCAGTTATCAGCAGAGTCCAGTTTAATGTTCAAAGAACAAAAAGTCCATATTTTTATTAAACCTTAATTTTTCAAATAAAGAAAATGTTGATCTGCTGGATTTTATTAAATGATAAACTGATCAAAATTAAACAAACATGAGACCTGAGAGCAAAGTTCAAGTTTAATATTCTGAATAGAAAAAGATAAAAAAAAATTTTTTTATAAAAAACTCGGTTTCTTCACAATAAATCATTGAGACTGGCTTCATATTCAAGAAAATAAAAGTTTCTGATCAAACATTCAACTATATTCATACATCATTCAAAACAAATTTTTATTTAAACAACAAAACGTTTCCAGTGTCAAGATTTTAGATTCAAATTTTAAAATGTGATGATCTGACCTGATGCATCGTTTACTGGTACTTTTTTATACTTGACCCATCATGATTTCAGCCTGCAGACCAGTCCAAACCTGAACCGGGACCAGTTTCAGACTGGTACCTGGCCCAGTTGAAATTAGAACTTTACACAGAAAAATTTATTGATGAGGAAACCGTTCAGCTTGAGTAGTTTGGGGCCGAAAAACAAAAAAAAATGTACTGTATTTCAAGGATTAATTGATCTCGTCACATTGGTTCAACATACTGAAGAGTTAAAAAAAACAACAACAAAATGTTGTTTCACATTGGGTGAAAAGTATGTGGATGTAGTCACAGATCAATAATTGTTTGGTAAATGTTGAAATACACAAAATGAAAGCATTCACACAAACAGAACCAGCAACACAAGGTGGCATTCTTCAGCTGATCAATAAAACTAATCAACTCTGACAGTAACCATAGCAACCACCATAAGAAGACCACACTGATGATGTAAGAAGAAGGCACATCCAATGACAGAAACACTCCTGTAACACCTGGTGTATGCTCCGCTCGTTGCAGGGGGACACTTCAGTGGCTTAGCTTCACCTTCTCAATGTCAGAGATCAAGGTTCTGGCCAGGTAGATTCCCACCATCTGGTCAGAGAGAGAGACAGGTGAGCTCAGGTAAAACGAGAGAGACAGAGACAGAAAGAGAGACAGAGAGAGAGAGAGACAGGTGAGCTCAGGTAAAACGAGAGAGACAGAGACAGA